TACCAACAACATTCTTCAAAGAGATGGAAAAACTAATCATTAACTTTATATGGAAAGGGAAGAAGCCCCAAATAAGTAAAGCACTACCGAAGAAGAAGAAGAAAGTTGGAGGACTCACACTACCTGACTTCAGAACCTACTATACAACTACAGTAGTCAAAACAGCCTGGTACTGGTACAACGACAGAGAGGGAGGTAGGGGAGGTAGGCTGTAAGCAAAGGGGTGGGGGTGAGAATGGAAGGGTGAAAGGACCAGGAAGTTGACAAGGGAGACAAAAGATACCAGACCAGACCTTGGAGCCCAAGCTGCCCTATGTTGGGACCACCCAAGCCTTGTACATCCTGAGCTTTCATGCCTTTCCAGCCACGAGTCCTCTGGCTAAACAAAGATTTGCCAGAGCTCACGTGGCCAACAGGCCAAAAGAAAATGGCTCTCGTTGGTGAGGACTCAGAGCCCTGCTGCTCCCCACCCCACCCCATCTCAGGGAAGCTAGTGTGAGAACTGCCCAGAGCTGGCTTTAGAAGGGTCAAGGCCTGTGCCAGAGCCAGGCTCTGTTCTCACCTCCCCAATTCCCCAGAGACAATGGGACTGCCCAGCTCAGAGGGACAGGATGCTGTTCTGGGCACTACCCCAACCTCCGAGCTCACTAGGCTCAGGAATGGGAGAGGCCTTTCCACTGCTGGTGGGTACACAAAGCACCTGACCTTAGGGAAATGGCTCTCCTGGGGCACAGTGATACCCATTCCCCAATCGAGAGCCAGGCAGACGAGGCTGTAGCGTACTAGGCTTCCCCCAGGCGGCACCTAGGCTGAGCTGGGCAAAGAACCCCTGGGGCTCCTTACAGGAGTGGCTATAGCACTGCTGCTCCTCTAGTATGTGGAAGCCAGAGATGAAGGGTGGCCAGCCTGACAGGAGTGAGGAGCAAAGTGACAATCACCCCTCTAGGTCTGTGCTCGGTGGCCCCAGGCATGCCCACCAGCGTCTCCTGATTCAGGATCCACAGCCACAGCAGTCCTTCCCCAGTGCCCCAGATGGAGCATGGGGACTTCTCACAGGCAGCACAGTAGATGACCAGGAAGTGATAGCGTGTTATGAGAGCACCACAATAACCGTGTTTGGTACAACAGGTACTGCCACCACCTCTGTTTCACCAAGGAGACTAGAGGACTTGCTCACCACCCTACACAGCTGAGAAGCACCTGAGCTGGGATTTGAAACCAAATCTTAAGATTCCAAAACCCCCGTCCTTTCTGCCACTGGTCCTGTCTCGCTTAGGGTGGTAACCATGCTGGCAGAGATGCCAGCACCAAACCCCTGCTCTGGTACCAGAAGGAAGTGGTCAGATGCACTGTTTGTAGGGAGCTGTGGACCCAAGATCTGTGTCTTGCAGTGAGTTTTGGTGGGGGGGAAGGCGGGGCGGGCAGGCCAATACCGCTGGAAGGCCCAGCCCCCAGCCCTGGAGGAAGACAAAGGCACTGCTGCCTCCTGTCTGAAGGCTGCAGCTGCCCAGTCCCTGTTCTGCAGGGCACACCGGTCCTCCTGCCTCACCAGGCAGCCACTGCCACCAGCAGACCAGAACAAACACTTCACCAGGGCCACTAGGAAAACCTTCCAAGCATGCAGCCCCACTTCCCACAAACAAAGAACAAAGGCAGGAACACTGATTTTCGGCCACAGTTCCCTGCATGGAATCTCCCAAGATGGGCTGTACTGCTGTAGCACCTTCCATCAGATACCCATGCTTCTGTGCCAGGGGATGGGGTGGGGCTCTCCTCAATGCTGCTTGACTAGCACAGCCTTCCCTAAAGCTAAGTCCTGCTCACCACCTCCTAAGACCATATGGCCATGGGGGAACACTGTCCAGCAAAGCCACTGCCCACTCCAGGCCTCCTAAAGACTCCTTCCTGAGCACTGCTCTTTGCTCCTCCGGGCCCTCTCAGAGCTTTTGCTGAAGCTGTCTCCACAACTGGTGATGCCTACTGGGTTCCCCTTCTGCCAGCACATCATGGTCCAATCCCAGTGCTTGTCCTTTGAAGTGTTCTGTAACATTATTTGGTCTCTTCCTGGCACACTGCCCATACCCCTGGTCCATTGCCTGCCTCCTGCTGAGCTTCTCCATGATCCCAGCACTATTCACTGTTCCTAGGATTGTCCCTGCCTTCCTCCTAAGATCACAAGCTCCTTGGGGAAGGGCCCATATCATGTCATCACCAGTTTCCCCAGTGCCCCGTATGACAGGAGTCTGAGAGGTGGTACAGGCGTGTGCACACACATGTACACATGTTCATGTGCAGGGGACCACCCAGGGACCAGCCCAAGCTGCTAGCCCACCTCTTTCTTGTATGAGGATGATCCTGAGTGACAGACCTTTTATGCAGATTTCACTGTCCAGAAGGTACAGAACCGAAACTGGGAGCTTTTCTTTGTTTTGTTTTCATAGATCCAAGCAGTACATACTCCAGAAAACCTAACATTAATCTGGTCATTTGAGTTATGAAAGCTGGTGGAATCACTTGGAAGAACCATTTCCTACTCAGTGGGTGACTCAAGGATATTTGGGAGACATTTTTGTCTCCACGTCTGAGAGCTCAATAACCATTACTAAAACAACAGATGTTTAAATTTTCAATGACTTAAAAATGTAGGTATTTTTAATACTTATCTTCAAAATTAAACTATATAATTATTTTGACAAAACTAACAGAATATATTTTTAACTTTAGCTATAAATATGGATTTTAAAATTAAAAATGAAGAGCTCAATAAAGGACATAAAATATTTACTTGGAGTCAATTCAGACTTCACCATCACCTCAGTTTGATGAGTACTGGACAAGACAAGTTGTCTTGTTTTTTCAATTCCCAAATGATTTTTCAATTTGTATAGATTTGCCCAAAGGAAGAAAACACACAGTACCTGTGGTAGGCTTAATAATGGTCCCCAAAAGATGTCCACCTCCTAATCCCCAGAACCTGTAAATATGCTACCTTACATGATAAAAGACTTTACAGGTATGATTAAGTTAAGGATCTTGATGTGGGGAGATTATTCTGAATGATGCTGGTAGGCCCAACGCAATCACAAGAGAGGCAGGATGGTCAGAAACAGAAAAGGTGATGTAATGACGGAAGCAGAGAGAGAGAGACTGGAAAATGTTACACTGCTGGCTTTCAAGATGGAGAAAGGGGCCACAAGCCACGGAATGTGGGCAGCTTCTAGAAGGTAGAAAAGGCAAGGAAATAGATTCTCCTCTACAGCCTCCAGAAGGAACATAGCCCTGCTGACACCTTGATTTTAGGACTTCTTATCTCCAGAACTGTTGTTTTAAGCCACTAAGTTTGTGGTAATTTGTTATAGGTGCAAGAGGAAACTAATACAACACCCTATAGCTGTGCAACACCACCATGACATCCCAATGCCAGCTCCCTGTCTTCTGCTCATCAAAGTGCTAAGAAGGTAGAAGTTTCTCCAAGAAAATCACAGAGCTGTAGTGGTAATGTGTCTTCAACTGATGCTATCATTGTATGGTCAATA